TCCCAAAAGAAATAAATCCAAATAAATGTGGCTGTACAACCTGCATAATTACTGATATATTCTGGGCAATTACTAGCCTGAATGGAAGCAGACCTCAATATACACTGTACCTGCAAAACCTGGGCAACATTATTCATTCTATATAAATACTGTATAAAGGAAAAGTTGGCCTTAAAATGCAAACATAGGCTTATTAGTAAATATGTTTTATATTTAAGTATATATTATTATTTAAGTTATTTAAGTCCAAAGGATTGTATTTCAGTCCAATTAATTTGACTACTTGTACATTTCTTGAGCATGCTTGTATGGCTTTAATGAATTATATTTATGTAATTGATAAATTCTTGGCTTTTTGACTGACATCTTGTTCCTGATTGACTGTGATACACTCAGGTGACTACTTGCATGAGCAGTAAATCACCTCATTAGTGAGACAACTGATTGAGCACAGTTAATGAGGTGATTTAACCTGTTGAATGTCAAGAATGTCTGTCCAGGAGTGTCTAGGTGCTACAGAACTCATTGATGCAAACCTGACTACATGGCACGGCATTGATCAGGTCTAGGGATCTCACCTGTAGGCCTGCCTGATAGATCATCCTGATAAGACAATATTCAAGCGGAATTGATGCAAGGCCTTGTGAGTAACAGCTTTCTTGCAAGATAAAACTTTGACAGTTATTTGACAGTTATGGCCAAGTTGCTAGACTTGACACCATTAAAACTTTGTGGGATAAACTTTGGATGATCTATAGCATCTTGGGCCCAGAGACCAACAGGTAAATGTTTTCACAGGCTATGAAACAGACAAGCAAAATCTGCAATTTGCACAGTTTATATTGATTCCAATGATGGTCACAAACTACTAGCCTGGGACTTTCTGGGACTCTAACTAACACTCCATGTTAATGACAGATGAATATCAGCCATAATGAACTTACCAGTGTTGAGTCTGGTCAAAAAATAATCAGTACACCTGCTACAAAAAATATGATAATTTTCCTGTGAATTTGTTGCAGATGTAAGAGTTTTTATGCTCAGTATACTATTGATCTGATTCAATAAAAAATTAAATACTCTTGCATGACTAAAAATAGTTAATCATGTGACTGTTATATTATTGCAATTAAATATTGGAATTTACCTTTCTCAAAGAGCAACAGTGTTACTTATTTTTAGTAAATTGATGACCAGTTTGTCAAAGTGATTTATTCTTTATGGTGCTTTTTACTACTCCCTCCAAAAATTGTAATGTAATCAATGTTGGTTACTAATGGATAAGATTAACTCCAGGGAAGGAAACAGTTTTACAGGCCATTACACCCTGGTAATTTTGAGCAGGCAAAACCAAATGAGACATTTGGGTATGGTGCTCAGAGCATTTCCTTTTCTCTTTAAAAAAGCATGCTTTTTCTAAAAAAGAAAAATTGTAAATAATTTTAAAATCTGACACTGACTTGTATACTCTAATATGATCACAATTATCATCTAATTTAGCAGACTTATCTTATCCAAAGACACTTACTGCATTACTAAGTACTGGATTACTAATCATTGGGTGCTGATGCAGAATTATTGACAATACAGTGGTAAGTTTTATATCTCATTCAAAGGACACAAGTTAAGATAGCTTGTCTATGTTAGGAACAAGTTGGAAACAGAACTGGCAACAGACTGGTCTACCTAGCCTAGTGGAAAAGCCAGAAAATGCACAATGTGGACATATACTACAGTACCCAGCAAGGTTCAGGCTATAAAAGCTTGTAAAATCTACATTCTGACAGAATTCTTCATCTACTTGTGGGTATCGAAAGATGTTTGTTGATAGGTTTCTGTATTTATCTCCCCATGCCTATTTGTTTTTTACTCTCTACCGACATCTTACATACGTACCTCAGACTCAATGTCACAGTATTTCAAGGCTGTTTGCAACTGAGCACTACCCAATCTCATATCCCCTATTTCAAAAGAGTGAGGTCAAATGAGTGCACTTTAAATTACAGTGCACAGAACTTCTCATGATTTAGCACCAGTCTGGAGCAGTTCTTCCTCTAATCACATTCCAAGTCAATTATGAGTCTCCAAGAACAATGTAATGTCCAGTTTTGGTCACCATATTACAAAAAAAGGATGGTGACGCTGCAGAAATAGTCAATATACAGTATGTTTAATTCCCCATCTTAAAGCAATGTTTTTCATACAGGTGAAAGGAACTAATTCTCTTTTGCTGTAAACAGTACAGAGGATGAGTAATCTTTCAAATATTTAAAAATTTGAGTCGCTGACAAAATCAAACTTAAGTGCAATTTTAGGACAAATGGCAAAATACGGACCCAAGGACACAAGCAGAAAATTAGAGGCAGTGCATTTAGCACTGAAGTCTGGAAGTACAGTATTTCTTAATACAAAGGTTCGCAGAGGTCTGGAATAAATTACACAACTATATTGTTGAAACCAATTCTTTGGGATCCTGCACAGAATAGCTGGAGAGATCCTCAAACCAGCTACCAGTAATCCAATGAGAAGGACTGGCCAATAGGCTTCACTCATTTGTAAATGTGCTCCTTGTGGTCTTAGGAGTTACATACTGTAGTGTAGGCAGATGCTAAATGCTTTTGTTGGTGTTTGGGTATGGCTCCTACAATGATATAATGAATTCTGAAAAACTTCAAAGGGCTTTTATGAAAATAAAATGGGGAAAAAAAACTGGTTCTTAAAACACAAAAAGGCCTCATAGCTTTATTAGTTGGGCTGACAGATAATTTATAAGAGCTAAACTTGAAAAAAGAGCTTTCTACTTCCACTCCAATTCATCATAACATAACGCTAAGTGAACATTTGTTTCTGACAGAATCATTTATGGATTCAGTGATTCCACAATCATTATGCATTTTCAGCTTTTCTCCAATGGAATGTTAATTAAATTAGCCCAAGTTCTTATGCTTGGAACAAATGATAACATTCTATTTATCGGGCCTCATTGAGTTTAGGAAAGTGCTGCTGACAGTCTACATTATGGCATGGATTTGGCAAGTTAAACACCTCCATTATCTTTTTTTTCCCATACACAGCTTCTTTGGATTGCAAACATTAAATGGACAGAACAACACTACTGTGCAAAAGCACCTGAGTCCAGTCTGCAGATTTATCAATATGCTGTATATTTATGTCACATTTTCATATTCTACGTCAGCCGTATCATTGTGTATCTGAAAGCGGCCCACTTCATGTTTTGTTCTTACTGATTGTATTGACACAAAAAGTGTTTGAGTAGTTTTTGCTAAATGAGCGTGACATGAATTAACCTAAGCGTGTTTTACAGATGGCTGAATTAATTTGCCAGTGTCAGTGGACTCTGGGAATACATGTCGAGTGTTCTGTTCAGCTGTAGCTTGTATGTTACAAAAATAGCAAAGATATGTGAAAAGTGGTCCAGAGAAATTAAAACCCAGGGATGAAGGGAAGACATGAAACAATCTCTTTAGTCTTGCTAGAACTAACTTGTATAGTAGAATGGAAAAATATGAATGGAGAATTTTAAAAACTGATTTTAACCTACAGGGATTAATAACTTGGTATAAAGCTCACATATAATGAATGGTAAATGAACATCAAATGAGTTATACATGAATATCTGGGCACAACTTCTGAGTTCTGAAGTGCAGTCTTTTCTATATTAATAATAATAATTGCTTACACTTATATAGTGCTTTTCTAGACACTCCACTCAAAGTGCTTTACAGGTAATGGGGACTCCCCTCCACCACCACCAATGTGCAGCCCCACCTGGATG